GACATATGATGTGCCCTGGCTGCAGGGCACCTCCAGTTGTTCCAAGTTTTTCTGTCCATGGCAAACTGAAAACGAAGCAGAATGGTAGAGCATGTCCCTGCTGTCTCAGGGCAGCTCTGAGGGGAACACAGCAGGTACCAGTCACCTCGTTTGAGGTGAAGCTGTCTTTGCAAAGCCAGTTCATGGAACCATTGTTAATAGAAATTAAACTCAAAGGGCAGATTTTTTTTCAAAGGTTCACATTTGTACACAATCTAACTGCTGCTACCTTTAGCTGAGCCCGCTGTCCAGACAGGAGCAGAGAGTGACATTTGCTCTCAGCTTCATTTATGTGTAAAAAAAAAAAAAAAAAAAAAAAAATCACATTTTACTGGCCATGACTGCTGTGAAACATGGCCCTAGAGATTGCTCCTGGGGTCTGGAGGACACAGCTCAACCAGGGCCTGGAACATGCAGGGAAGGACAGCCTTTGGGTGAAGCCATTTGATAAATTAAGACAGAGACTCAAATCACACACCACCCGTTTTGCCTGTGCTATCACACGGCCAGCTGCAGGATGCTGCATTGCCCCAGGGTCTGGTCCCATGTGCAGCTGAGGTCAGTGGAACATGACACTGATTTCAGGAGCGTGCCCATGTCCCCAGGATGAGTGGGAAGGCTGTGTGGACACACACTGGCTGCTTTAGTTCACCCTGAAATTCTCTTTCAAACCTAAACCCCTGCCAGGCCAGGGCTCTCCCGAGAGGGGCAGGAGTGCATTGCTCACCTGCTTACCTTTCAAGGTAAGGCAGTGGAGAAAGTGTCCTGGAAATGCTGCTGCTTTGCAGGTTATTAACAGTCACAGTGAGCAAACTGCATATCCCAGAGCCCTACAATACTGTCAGTGGGGCAACACAGAAATCCCAAGAGTTATTGCCCTATACAATCAGGTTATGTACCAAAGCGATTTTATGACACTGATGGATGTGAAATCATGGGAGATTTGGGCAGAAAGTAATCCCAGAATGGGCCAACTACATTTTGGAACTGCCTTATGGTTGTAGCTGGCCTCTGCCAGCTTGCCTTTGGGAAGGAATCTCTCTCCTTGAGAAAGATTTCTTGCTGCAGGTTTTCTGGCTCAGGCTGGGCTTTCAGTAACCATATATTTCTTATGTATAGATCAATGGAGCACATGTGTCTGCACTTGCCTCAGCATCTTCAACCTCAAGAGGGTGACTGAACTGGGAATACGATGGCTATTTGTAAATAAAGCCATCGCTGGTAAAAGGCACAAGTGCTCTTACTCGGCCAGCAACAAGTAGGAAACACAGCAACCGTAGCACACCTGCCCAGGCACCAAACCCAAACCAAGGCAGCCCTGGCTTGTTCCCTGCCCCAGGACCAGGCTCTCACCAAGCAGCAACACAGCACTGCAGCCCCCCAGCCCCCCTTCCCAGCCAGCTCAGAGCTGGGGACTGGGCTGCAGCAGCACCAGAAGCTAAAGAAATCCATTCTCACAACCAGCAACCACCTCCCAATCCCTGCCCAACTGGCAGCTAATGCAGACCCTACCTCAGCCCCAAGGGGCGAAGCCACTACCACCATCCTCCTCGCAGCCCCAGGCTCACCCCATCAGCAACCACCACCACAAGAACTACCCTTGCAGGGGGGGGTCTTGTCCTCAGGTAATTGGTGGCAGCTGATGGCACTATTCTCAGTGGGGGACACTGATTAAATTGGCACCAGCTGTGCCCTGTCCCAGGAGAGGGGTCCAGCCTGGCAGGTGGCAGTGTGTGGGTTATGGCAGCCCCGGGTCCTGCTGGTGTAGGAGGGGGACAGGACAGCCTGGACCTGCTCTTTGGCCTGGCCAGGGTACATGGAGTCAATTAAATTGATTGGGGTTTTGCTAAGTGGCTGCAGTGCCGCTGTCTGGGCTCCCCAGCAGCAGGAGTGTCTCTGTGAATGTAGATTAAAGCACACTCATGCTCTCAATGTTCTGCATTCTCACACCAGAGGTGGAGATGCTGATCTGGGCTTTTCCTGGAGTAATAAAGGACTGGGAGGATTTGCTCTTTTTTTTTTTCCCTGTCTCCTTTAGGTGATTTCTGGATGGCAGTGGTTTTTGGCTAGCAGGGGACAAAGCAGCAGGCCGGGGGGGGGGGGGGGGGGGGGGAAAAGCAAAGTAGGGACCCGATGTTGCATCAGTGGCTGGACCATACTGCGTCCCTGAGCCCATCACAGCCCAAAGCACCAGCCTGGTCAAGGTCATGTCCTTGGCCCCTCCGCGTGTCCCAGGGTGGCCATGCCCTGAGAGCCCCCACGAGATGGTAACAGCCTTTCGTGTTCATGTCCTCTGGTGGGAAATCGGCCCTTGGCCACCTTTCTGGAGGCTCCTCTCCTCCCAGGGTGGCGATGGGCAGCAGGTACAGCCTGGGCTTGGCCGAGGGAGCAGCTCAAAGGTGCAGCCCAGCCTGCGGGCCCAGGTACCCCAGCACGGAGCGGTGCGGCAGGGCCCTGTTACCACCGGCCACACCATCGCTGCTTCACCCCGGCAGGAGGAAGGCTCAGCTGCTGGGGAAGGAGAGGTTTGCTTGCCCCGAGTCCCGGCCACGCACAGCAGCAGGCACAGCAGCGATATTTCCATTTATCCCAGAGCGCGGCCGCTAACACGTAACTGAACCAAAAGTCGAACGCCAGTTTTGCATGAGTCGATTTACTTTAAAAATGTACAATTTCTGGAACATGATGACTAGTCAGCAGAGACACCGAGTGCCTGTGATTCCCTCATGTGCCGGGGTGCCTGGGACGGGGCACGGGGAGCAGCACCCCGAGCTGCAGGGTGGGAGGGGGACGAGCAGCCGTGCCCCTGGCTGGGCAGTGACTGGCCCTCCCAGAAACCTGCACCCACGTCGGAAACTTTGTCCTCTCTCTTCACTGGCTGCCCTGATTTTTCTTTCTTTGTTTGCAGCGTTTGCAAATATTGCACATATTTGGGTTGGGTGGGGGTTTTTTGCATAGCAGGAGTCGAAAGCGAAGGCAGGAGTGTCGCTCCCTGCGTGGCCTTTCAGCTATTACTTAGCTCTTGTGCATAAACCCTGCCCTGCCCCAACCCTCTGCGCCTACAGGTATCACACGTGGGCAAAACCATCCCGGGAAGATGCAAGTGCACCCCAGATTTACCGACGACCCTCTCTTGTCACAGGCCCTGTCCTGTCACAGGGAAACTGCTAGTTAAAGTGGCTAAGTGGAAATGACCAAGGGACAAAAGCAAGTGCCACGACTGCCATGCTGTCGTGCGCTAATTAGAGCCATGCAGCAGCAGCCGGTAATGATGACATACACGGGGAAAGCAAGGGCAGGACCACCCGCGCCCCAGCACCCTTCGCCGCTTTGCTGGGTGCCTCTGCATGCGGCAACCGCTTTCCCCGCCGCAGAGCTCACACCGGCCCCGTTGCCACCTAAACTGGAATTGGGCCACAACATGGAGGCCAAAAACCTCGGTATTTTTAATGCCTAGGTTCAGCGGTACCAAGTTTGTAGCTGAAATGACTGGTGGTGGGCATCTGCCGTGTGCCCCCCAGGCAGCACACCCACCCCTCTGGATTTCTGCACGCCCCTGCAGCTAGCGGATCTTTTGTGAAGTGCTGTGTGTCCTCGGGAGAGAGGAGGCTGCTGCATCTGTGCTAAGAAAAGGCAGCGATACATCCTGGTTCTAGGAGCGACTTCTAAAAATAGCAATATCTGTATCTGGAGAGCGGAGGGAGGAGGGAGAGCTCGGGGTCGGCTTCCAGGCAGGGCACAGCCAGCAAGAGCATCGGGGCAGAGGCTGTGTCCCAGCACTTGGTGAAGAAAATGGTTCACTATTCCCATTTAGCACATCCACGGTTTAACTCCACAGCTCTGGCAACGGGTTGTGGCATGGCTTTGTTCGTTAACCAGTGACAAGGTAAAGCACTCGTGTGAGTAACTGGCTGGCTGGGTGCCGGAGGGCAGCACGTTTCCCACCTCTGTTACTGACTCTTATCATCTCCTTGAATGCCTCTTTAAATTTTGGGGGGCATAACAACCCTCTCTCAGCACCCTGGCTGCGTTATTCAGACCCTGCAAAGGAAAACCAGCTCCCGCCGTGCCTGAGGCTGGGCACACGAGCAGCTCGGTGCCGGGGGTGGGACGGGGACCCCCCGAGCTCAGCCCCAGGCGAGCTTCCCCATGGGGCTGCCAGCACGCTACTGGAGGGAGACGTCTGCGAGCCTGCCCCGCGCCCGCCACGGCGGATAACGTGGGCACTTTTCTATTGCTGGCTTTGCGTCGGGCCCTTCCACAGCTTCTTGGTCCTTTTCGTCCCAGGCTCTTCCCCTGCGTGAACTGCCCGCGCTGATCTCTCCAAACGCCGACGACAAGCCCGCGGGATGCTGTTGCCCAGGCAGCTGCTCCCCTGCGCAGCAGCGCGGGTGGCGAGAGCTGCCCCCTCGTCCCAGCCGCCGGGAGACACCTTGCAGCCGCAGCCCCAGCTCCAGGGTGATGCTCGGCCACAGATTTGCCATTCCCTGCCTGGAGAGCGTGACCTGGGACTGCTATTACTCACACCGGGATTATTTTAACCCCAAATCCTTACTCTAAAGACAAGCTCCCATTTTGATCTATAGGCAGTGGTGGGTTTGCACTCAAATCGAGGGAGTGGGGTAACCCAGCCTGCACAGAGAGTAGTCTCTTGAGAGGTATATAAAGATGCTTCATAATCCCAAGTGAGGTAGCTGAGCTGCATGGTCCCGCTCCCCAACAGGATAGGACATGGTCAGCGGGGGCTGTAGGGGCTGGCGCTGGAGGCAGGATCCCTCTCAGGGCCTCCTGATCCCCAGCCCTCCCTGCCAGGCACAGTTTCTTAAGACAACCAAGTTCCTACTTGGTCATCAGAGCACCAGGATGGAAAAACAAAGGCCAAGGGCCCAGAGAGCAAGCCACAGGAGAAACTGCACCCTGGACTTGCACCCTGGGCAGATTTCAGGCACTGGGGGTCTTTATTTTTTTTGCAAGTGCAAAGACTAGGCTCAGAGTTGCAAGAGCCAAACCAGAGAAGGAGGCAAGGTTGGTCTTAAATTTTCGTGTCACTTCATCGACAGAACGTGCTGGGGACCCATCGGATATGTAGGTGAGAGAAATGCTGCGTTTGGGTTTGTCTTCCAGTGCGCTGGTGGGACACAGCCGGGCACGGTTGTGCTCAGAGAAGGTCTTTCATGATATCTGACGGCAGGGCTTCCCCTGCCACGTTCACAGCACCCAGGTCTGACCTTTTCCGTGTGACAAGCACCATCATCTGCACCGTCCTCTTCAGTCCCGGCTGGCAAGCAGCTCCATCAGCCAGGATAGCCAGGGGACCGTGCTGGGGCGAGCTGCCAGGCACCTGGGGGAGTTTGTAGCACTTGGGGTAGTTACTGAAACACTCAAAAGTGTCGTTGCAGTTTCTGCAAGCCCCAGGGTGGCCACTGAAGCCCGCGGATGGGAAGGGCTGGAGCGCGGCACTCGGGCACCCGCAGCAGAGGAGGGTGCGGATGGCCTGGAGGAGCATCATGTCCTTGGAGAGGAACTTCTGGAAGTTGGGCTTGAAGAGCAGGTACACCAGGGGGTTGTAGAGCGTCGAGGACTTGGCAAAGACGGCTGACAGCACAAAGGCCAGTGCCGGCACCTGGCTGGCATCGCCAAGGACTGCCCACAGGGCAACGACGGCGTAAGGGGTCCAGGCAGCCAGAAACCCCAGGCACACGGCAATGCTCAGCTGGAAGAGAAGGAGATGGAGACGGCGGTGCCGTGAGCCTCCTGCGGCACACGCGGGATGCTGACCCCCCCCTAAAACTCAGCCACGTGCAACGGGACACTGAGCAGTCGGTTACGTTCCCAGGGAAAGGTGCTCAGCCTTCTGGACCTGTCACACTGGATCATCGGGGTGTCAGACATCAGGGTAGCAACTCGGCACATCCCAGCGTGGGCACATAAACCTGCACTCGCTTCAGGTGACTCACACCCCATCCCACCTGGGAAGCTCAGCAATTGCCTCAGCCCGCCACGGCAGATGGGTACGAAGCACCCAGCAACCCGGCTGGGACCAGGCCAGCGTCGGACTCCAACAGCATTTTGGCAGCACTCAGAATCCCTCCAGCAATCTGTGTGCCAGCGTGCAGACTGACCGAGAGGCTCTGGAAACAGGCCATGCTCAGACCCCCCTCCTCTAAGCAGACACGAAGGTTTCCTTCGAGGCCAGGCTTGCAAGCTGTTTTCTTTGGTGTTTGGGGTTTTTTTAAAGGGTATCCACTTTTTTTTTTTTTTGGACATATCCTTGGTAAATTATAGTATTAGCTTGTAGTCTGGGGAGCAATGACTCATGCAAGCTCCTTTTAAGATCTTTTCCAATGTAATTTAAAACGAAAACTCCTCCACCTGATGGCTTTAAACGTGGAGAAAAGTGTTATTACCCACACTGATACAAACACCCGCAGAATTCATCAGGAGCAGCAGACACCCTGGCAGAAGGGGTCCTGCCACATTCACCTGCCCACAGGGCAGTGGGCACACCGCAGCACCCCGAGCCCTCCCCTACCTTCACGATGAGGCTGTGCACGCTGCGGGCTCTGCGCTGGGGGGACGTGTGCTGCCTGACGGCTCTCCGGGACACCCGCACCGTCCAGAGGATCAGTGAGTAGGAGACGAGGATGAGGAGGCAGGGGAGAAGGTAGCAGAAGATGAAGAGGGCGAGGATGTAGAGCGTAGCCTCCCTGCTCGAGGCTTTCCACGTGATGCAGCAAGCTGTCCCATAGGGCTCGGGGCCGTAGCTGCCCCACTCGGCCAAGGGGGCCGTGGCAAACATCAGGGCGTATGCCCAGACGCACAGCAGCAGCACTCCGGCGTGGCAGGGCGAGAACTTGTTGCCTGTGGCAGAGGGATCGGCGTGAGGATGGTTTCCCATGGGCGAGGGGCAGCGGAGAGAAGGGCTGTGACCCTGAGCTGCCCGCACGTCCAGGCACCGGGGACGAAGCCAGGCACCCTGGGACACGGCTGGGGCCACCCAGGCAGGACAGGAGCTGCTGCACACAGCATGGCAGCACTGCAGCCATGGAGCGGGCAGAGCGGTGGCAGCACTCACCCCCGGGCCCTGGGACACACAGGCATCCTCTTGTACCCTTGGGTGGGCGGCCAGAGCAAGGCGCCAAGAGAAATGTAAGGGTTTGCCCCAATCTAGGCAGCAAGTGGCAGGATCAGCAGTGCAGCCTGTCTTGGCTTAGGGAGGAATTGCTGGGAGATCATGCGGCTGCTGGTGGCTTGGCGGGGGACACAGCACCCACGGCCCCACAGGGATACTGCTGCACCCACGGCCCCACGGGTGGGAGGGAAGGGGGCTGCCTGGCTGCAGCAGCCTGAGCACAGGGCAGGGAGAGCTGGCTCCAGGACTGCTCAAAGCCATCACAGACACTGTCCTTTGAAGGACCTTTTGCTCTCCGGCAGACTGAAGCACTGAGGAAGGTGGTTTTTTTCCTTTTTGTCCCATCCCCCATCAAATCTAAAACTCCCTGATCTTCTAAGAGCTCAGTATAAAGTGCTAAATCTTCCGCCATACATAGGAGTAACATTTTTCTTTGAAACTAAGCAATTAAAAGCACATTGAGATTAGCTATTTCCTCATAGAAAATGGGCCAGGGCGTCATGGGGAGATAAGCTCAACGTGCCAGGCTGCCAAGTGCTGGCTCATCTAGAGAGCAGAACCTGCTCAGGGAAAAGCCACTGGTACCTGGGCTGCCTTTTAAGAGCCAACTTTTATCTTTATCTTTCCTTCCACCTTTTTAGTGATCTCCTGAGTTGTTGTGCTGGCACATAACCAAGGTGACTCTGCTCCAGCATCGTCCTTGAGGCACCGTCAGCTGCTGGGGACAAAGCGTGTTGGTGGTTGGCAGCAGCCGCGGGCTGGGGGCAGACAGGCAGTGAGCCATGGGAGAGGGGGTGACGATGCACCCTGGGGTGCTGGCCTGCAAATCAAACCAAGATCTTTGATTTCCCATTTTATTTCTATTTTTGGTCTTTAATCCAATGTATATTCTGAACATACATGCTAGATGGAGGGTTAGCAGCTGAGCTGAGGAAATTAAGAAGCAGCTTCAAATAGGAGGAGCTGTAAATGTGTAGGGGACGTTCCTGGATCCCCCCACTTCTCTCAGGTGCTTTCTACGCTGCATGCCCAAGCTTATAGCTGCATATAGCTGTAGAGCTGCACTCATGTTAGCTCTACAGAGGAAGTCCAGGTGAAAATAAAGCTACAGAAGTGAGCTATAACACTGCACACCCAGCCCTCCTGTATTAATTAATTCAGTCAATTAAATACATTTGGCCTATGGCTCTCCCCACCAGGGACAAGGGAAAGCGGCTCTTCCTTGCACTGCCAGATCTTATGGCTTCCCAGATGCAGAGCCTGCTCTGGCCTAAGCTCAAGTCTGCGTATGGACGTTTGAAACCCTGTGACCTGCTGCGATACAGCAGCTGGGACTTTTCCACAGAGGGAGGACAACGCCCTTGATACTTTTCGGGATGATGCTCCTGAGCCCTGGAGTGAAGCAGGGGATGGCTGAGATGCAAGCACAGGGCATGGGCACAGGGTGCTGGGGCTCCATAGCCCCACGCGGGTAGAGGGGGATGAATACACAAGTAATAAAAGCCTTCAGAGTCTGCTGCATCAGTGTATTAACCGGGAATAGGTTGCCCTTGGGCAAAGCTTTCCTAGAAGAGGTGTATCTGACCCATAAGAGAAGGAAGAAAAAGAGTTATGTTAATAGAGAAGGGTGTAAGTATAGATCAGATAACACATCCCAGCACCTACCATATGCTGGGTAGCAGACCTTCAGGCAGCAAACCGTGCTGAGCACCGTCAGGCTGGTGAGGCTGCACAGCCCAAACAAGACCCCGCAGAAGGCGTAGAGAGTGCACACCGCCTGGTTGAACAGCCACCTGCAAGGGAAAGCCTGCAGGTAAACCCAGCCCTTCCCCTCTGCCCGGGGCAGCTGGCTGACAGCCCCTGCCATGCGGCTAGACAGGAATTGTCTCTGAAATCCCTGCTCTGGAGGAAGGCTGGGTATTTCCCAGCCGCTCTCCTGGCAGTAGGGCCTCAGCTGCTGGTCCCACACTGGAAGCAAAGCCGACCGTGCGTGGGGCAGCTGCAATGGGCTGCATGGATAGCAGCGTGTGATTGCCCAAGAAAACATGGGCATGATCTTGCCCCAGATTTGTTCTCTAAGCATCCCAGAGACAGGCACAGACAGAGCCACAGGTGCAGGAGCTGCCCTGATCCATGCCAGCGCACACCACTGCAGTGCCTGTGCAATGTGAGGGCCAGCTCGGAAACCCACCACCAAACCCCTTTTACAGCAAGTCTGTGTGATAAACTGGGGGGACAGGGAACAGCAAAGCACCCTGCTGTGGGGTGGATGTCTGTGAAGGGCCACCAGACTGACTCCTTGGGTCCCCCTGCACCACCTGTCAGGGATCTCCCCATTTCAAGACAAGGTTTGCAAAGTGCACCCGGGGCCATTGGCCAGCACAGAGCCGCTTCCACAAAGTACCTGTGTGCAAAGAAGGATGAGGTGGCCAAGGGAAAGAGTGTCACCGTCATACTCAGGTCACTGATGGCCAGGTTGACGATGAAGAACTCGGCAGGCTTCAGCATTGACCTCTTACGATAGGCCACCAGCAGGAGCAGCGAGTTCCCAGAGAGGGACACAATGCCTGTGGAGAAGGCAGAGGAACGGTGCTGTATGTAACAGAGCTGGGAAAGGAGCCAGGATCATCTTCAGATGTTTGGAAGCCAACACCGGAGATGTCTACAGAGGGTGGAAAGGGCTCCAGGCTTCCCTCCCCAGAGCAGGCTGAGCAGGGGAGCCCATGGGACCTGCAGAGCTCTGTGAGCACATCTGGAGATGCTGGACATTGAATTTGATCCCTTCCCCTTCCTGAAATCCTACAGAGGCATTTGGTAGGATGGCAGTGATGGGATGAGACTGCAGTCGGCCCTGGGTGCAGGATCTGGCCAGAGTCACTTCTTCCAGCTGGAAGGAGCAAGGGGGGCACTTCCTTCCAGCTAGATAAATAACAGGAGCTTTGTGCGATTGCTCTTCTGATGTGAGGCCAAGGAGCTGCACCCCTTTGCCTTTTTAATTTCTTCCTGGCAATGTCACTCCTAAGTCTGTGTTGTCCAATATCATGGTAACAAAATAAACAAGAAGAAAGGCATTATGAAGATCAAGGAAAATCCAGACTAAACAAACGAAGACTCTTTGTTTGCTACTAGTGTATTTAAAACAACAGTGGTGATTAAAATTTTATAACAAGGGCTTTCTCTCTTTTTTAAATTATAAGCGTGCTTTCATTGAAAAGAGGTTTTGGTGTCCTCAGAAGGGGAATCTCTGCTGCTTTTGGGGCAGGTTGGGTAGGACAAGAATTTCTCCCTAATGGATTAGGCTGTAAATTAAATACAGTGGTAAGAACCAGCTTGCAAAGCCGCTAAATGGCTAACACTAAAGTTCCCCTCAGGAACAGGATTCCCACGCAAGACTTCATCAAATCCAGAGCTTTGGAAGTTTTGGAGTCACTGGAGGGTAGAGTAATGAGATGTTTGTCCTTCTTCCCAGCCTCATGAGGCATTTTTCCCACGGAGCTAGTCTCACATCTGTACTAAGTACATTTTATTAGCTTTACTAACTCCTAGGAGCTATAGGTGCCTGTAGGGCTGCTGGCAGTCCCAGTGGCGTGAGCATGCCTTGGGTTCCCCATCCTCACAGGCATGAAAAACTCTTCTAGCGTTTGGGAGACAACTTGCTCAGGGCTCAGATAACTGGAAGGCTTTTCGTTGCTCATTGTTCACTTCTGCCCACACCAACCAGGGCTAGGCCGCTTCAGAGCACATCCCAGCCCCTCGGTTTTGCCTGCTGGCTTTTCAGTGCCACTAACTCCAAATCACAGGACATTCAGCAGCTTCTTCTGCCGAAAGCAAGGACCAGCTGGAGGTCCAAATCACCTTCAATAGTCCTGAAGCTGGCAATGCTAACAGAGAGTCCCTACCTGTCTCACATCAGGTAGCTGCAGTAGGAGTTACAGCACGTTTCTCAAAGGTTGTTCTTCAACTTTCCAAATATTTAAAAACATAACTGGTACTTGCAGTTCCCCTGAGAGGGGAATGCAGTCACCAAGCTTTGGCCAGATCATCCTTTTGAGTAACATGGGGAGGGCTAATGTGGGAAGGGCCAGTTTGATTATTCTGCTAATGACTGAACGCTTCTGGAAGCATCAGTGACTGCAAAAGTCCTGAATGTCTCTCGAAGGCAGGCACCTGGGCTGCCCACAGCAGGGAGAGAGGTGTAACAGGCTGTCTTTCCTTACCAAAGACTAAATAAAGTGTGCCAAAAATCAGGTCTTCTCTCTCCGATAAGGTGGAGATGAACACCAAGGCGTTGGACACATTTCCCATCTGCAAAGCAAAATACAAATACAAGTGAGAGCGAATTTTGGCTAATGAAGGAGTGCTCACTTTCCTCCGTTCCCGGGGAGGACAGCTCTGCGACACGCTCCTGGCACGGTGCTACAACCAAGCCAGCAGCATGTACCTCACCGCGGGAGGTGCCTTCATTAAGGCTGCACACAGCACTGACCTAACCAGCTGGGCAGGGGGCCGATAATAGGATCACGCTGGTAATCTCACTTGATTACCATTTCTTCAATTACAGATTTTACTGATTAGCATTAGCCTTTGGATCTAAATTTTCTTTGCAAGTCTCGGCCATGTGCTGACTGCAGCGGGCACTGTGCGTTTGGACATGGGGATTGGCAGCTCAGAGCTGGAGGCTTCGTGTTTTGCAAAGTCCCCCACCTCCTCCAGGTTTGTCCCATCCTTCACGTGCCTCCACCAGTCCCTGCGTCCACATCAGCAGAGAGGCTTGGCCCAAACTCTCTTTGCGATGCAGCCAAGACCTGTTCATGTGCCATCCCGGTGGCATATTAATTGCCTCTACTGTGAGACATGCACTGTGTGTGCTGAGAAAGGCCCATGCAGACAAGGGGACTTGCAACAAGCTGTTCATCAAACCGCAGCCCAGGAGACCCCACAGCTGGGGACAGAAAGGAATTTTGTCACCGCAATCATCACTGCTCCTGGCTGGGACCCTCCTTCTGCTGTAACTAAATCTGATCTGTGCTGCCAGTAGTGCAGGCAGGGAAGAACTTGAGGGTGAACACATGTATTAACAACAACAAAAAAATAGTAGTAAAAAGTCATTCCCTTTCACACGGTGTCTGACTCAATCATTGAGTTTTATCAGCCTAATTAGTTTCCCTGGTATTTCATGCAGCTGAGCCAAAGGTTCCCAAGTGCTTAGGAAGTTAATAGGGGGTAGTAGAGCAGAACAGCAGACGTGTTTCAGTATATTCTCTCCCTTCACTGATAACAAATAAATGGAAAAATATTTTGTTCAGGTGAAGAAAAAAAAAAAGAGAGAGGGGGTGAGAGAAAATAATGGTTTAATTATATGTTTCGATAGCTGTTAGCTTGCTTGCTGGGATGCTTAATGCATGCAATATTCCTGCCTCCTTCCCCAAGGTCCCTACCTGCACGCTGTGGGAGAACTGAAAACAGTGCCCTGCCACGGAGCAGGGGCTGGGGAGGGGAAGGCAGCTGGGGCCAGCCTGGGCATGGTTTAACCCTCACAAGTGGCAACAGGCTGCTTATTCCTGCCCCATAGCCTAGTCCTCATAGGGCCATGCTGCGAGCTGGAACAGGGAATAGATTTGGCCTTATGGGGAGGAGGTGAATAACAATAATATCCCCAGCACAGATCCCTACGTGACCTCTAACTGCTGTGAGGCAGCTTGGGAGCTACCGCATGGGCCAACAGCCATGGGAGACGGAGCCTCTTTCCATGAGTTTTGCTGACATGGACTTCACAAACAGAGCGACTACCCTTGTTATCTGTACCCGGGTGAAAATGCGCACCTCACATCCAAGGCTGCATTCAGACAGATGGAGCTAATTACTTGAAGTACTGTGTAAATTAGCTTTGAGTGTAAATGTATTTTAAGACACTAACTGGTGTTAAACTGCCAAGAAATCCTGCCAGTAGTTTTTCATTCTCTGTGTTACTGGCCCATACAGATGAATATCGATTGACCATGGTTCCTCTGGCCTATTTCATGGCTTTCTTGGGTTAGGTGGGCACACAATCCATGGGATGTTTACAGCTCATATAGTCCCACTTGCTACATTTCAGTGAACTTATCTCAAGCATCTGATGTTAAGCAATCAAATATTTTTATGGTTGGTGCCTACATACCATGAGTACGATGAAGTTGCCTCTGCAGACCAGGCAGGATGCTGGTTAATTTAGTTAATGGGAGCTGCAATGGTCATCCATGGTTCTCAATTCACTCTGTTGACCGTCTGGCCTCTCTGGATGGTTCCTGCTCCTCTTATGAACAGAGATGGTGGAAAGCAAAAGAACTGGTCTGTGCAAAACAGTCCCGACAAGCGTGTGCTGCACAGAAAGGGGTGTCATGCACTGAAGACAGAAGGAGCAACAGCAAGCCAGGTTTTGGCTTGCTTGCTCTAGCAGACATGGCCAAAGCCCTTGTGCTGCTGGCATACTCCCACATCCTTGAGACATGTTTTGCCCAGGTTACTGGTTTGACAGCTTGATGCAAATGTGATTTTAAATTAAGCTCCATTTACATCATCCTGCTAAACTGACAGAGGCTCTCAGGAAGCTCAGCTAACGGCTGCTGAAGTGCAGCAGACTTGCCTCCTTCCTCAACTCATTTATTGGCTTTTGGCAATGAGAAAGAGGTACCATACTGTTTTGAAATGCCCCATCCTCCTGCCTGGGTCTGGAAAGTCTGCTCTGTGGCACTGCATGGACATCATGAAGGCAAACATGGACAGCCAGGAGGTCTACCCGCTTCTGTTTGGGTTTCCTACTACGGACTTTCACTTCAGAGAAATGACCACCACACATGGGATTTTTCCAATCCTTTGTTGTGCAAAACAAGGCACATCTAACAACAGTGTGTGCTTTACTAATAAACTAAACCCCGGCTATTATCTGCCAGCTTGGAAGAGGCTGCTAGCCCTTAGGGTTTGATATGCAAGCACCTATGGGAAAAAGCGCCAAGCAGTGTGATTGCCCAGGCAGGCTGACAGGCACACAGCTAATTTGCTACTTGAACATATCAAATGTCCCCTGTCTTGTTACCAGTACATACAAGTACAGTATGGCAACTTCTCATACATCATTACTTGTATTTATGTACATGCAGCTTTGATGTTCAGTCTTAAAAATTCAGTCTCTCTTAATAATTGCCTGGTAAAATATGTAAGGAAAACATTAACATTTGCATCCTAGAGGCTTCCTACTTTAACCAATATAGTATTGCTGTCAGAGCAGCAACCTGACTTGGAGGACTCCTTGCCAGCCCAGCACACACTTTGCAGGTGCACGCTCCCCTGACCTGCTTTTCCTTATGCTCTCCTGGCTGGTGGATGTTGATCTCAGTTCTGCTTTGGTGCCAGGGTAGCCTTGGACCACTCGAACACATTTGAATGTCCTCATTTGCATGATATAGTTCAGCTGCATCAATTTGCTTTTCTTAGCAAACATAATTCACAAGGTGCTTGCTTTAAACCCTTACTACCCTCTCCCTACTCATCTTCCCTGGTCGCAGTGTGGAGGACCAAGTGCTGTCAGTGTGGCCCCACAGCAGCAGATGCTGCTCACGAGAAGTCACCATAACCTCCATCTGCTCTCTTGGGCTTTCTAGCTGCTTTGGGCAGAGAGCGAACTGCCTGGCCATCCCCATAGACGTCTACACAACATAATTACTAGGGCATGCAAGGTTGGAGTCTGAGCAGCAATGGGCCAAGATCTACCCTGAGCTCTGCTTAAGAGGGAAAAGGGGTTAGGCAGAAAACTATCCCAGCTAATATTAACTTGGGAAGCTGCACACCAGTCCTCAGCCTGCACTGGATACCCAGGGAAGCAAGTCACTGTCTGATCTTTCTGCACTTGCACCACACTAAAAGCATCGCAGAGTAACTCAGTTTTCTCAGCTCGTGACCTCCTCACAGGCTTTCACTTACAGGTTTACGTTGAAGGTGACTGTCCCCTCTCTGTGTCCTCAGCACGACTGATGGCACCTGCAGCTCCGGGAAGCTCCTCCCTGCCTGCCCGGCCGAGACACTGGGACGTGCCGGTGTCCAGCCGGGGTGGCCTTTCCCGTTTGCTCCCTGGGAGCTTAGGGAATCGAATTGACAGGAATCCTGAGCAGAGCCCATGAATCCCAGACAGAGGGACCAGCACAGAGGTGACACCAGGCAGCTTTAAGCTGTCCCTCCTCACTCCGGTCTGTGCTGGCCCCATCTTTCAGCAGATATTAAAGCAATAGCAAAACTCTCGTTACCTGTTCTGGGAGCTGGGTAGCCCCAGGCCCTGTGACTTCGGTGTGCTCCCTCTGCAAGGGCAGCCTGCAGAAACCAGCCCAGCTGCTGCGCTCCTGTGAGGGTACGCCCCAGTGCAAGCCAGGATCTGGGCATCAAGTACAAATGGCTTGATTGCAGAGAAACTACAAAATCATTTAGGAGGGAAGCACAGCAGCTCCAGGGGTGGGAGACGACTGCTTTCTCCCTTTACAAGATCAATCATTTCAATAAAAGGGTGTTTCTGGATAACTGCGATGTGAGCACCTTGCAAGCATTCCAAGTACTTTCACACCCCGGGTTCAAGCTGAATCTCTCCCTTTATTGACTGTCCAGTGGAGACTTAGGTTCTCCCTTGAGATTTTCACTGACAATCCCGACTTGCTGGACACAAGTGCTGGAAATCCCTAGCAGGAAAAAGGGAAACATTTCCCACCCTTTCTTCACCTGCCCTGTGCAAATCTTGTCCCTAGCCTCAAATCCTCGCCATACTATGCAGTGACTCATAAAGAACAGCAAAATAAATGGGGCTCATGTTCAGGTTTTTGTTAAAATCTTGTGAGTCACTTTATCTTGGGAAAAAGCAGCAGTGGCAAATCTGGGCTTTAGTGGAAGACAGACAGCTGCAAGACAGACAACTAGGGGATCTAAGGCTTTAACTGAAGGGAGCAGGCAGAACTGATGGGACATTGCAAAAAAGTTCTCTGATGAGATTTCTCCATCACAAGGAAGCAGAAAAGGTTGGAGCCCATCTTCTCCCTTTTTCAGGCCACCCTCTAAAAGGTTTGTGAGGAAATGGGCTTTCCTCCTCACCAGCACATGCAGTAGCAGGCAGGGCAGGGTGAGAACATCACTCTGATGCATATTCATAATTGTCAGGGTGAAAAAGCTGCTTCAGAGTATTTAATTTCACAGCTAACGAAAATCCAATCTCAATGTGCTTCCTATGATGAATGTCCTTAGGAGCCCACCTCTCCCTTCCTTGTGTGCCAAAGCATTTTAATTGATGCTAAGGTTAAATTTATTAGAAAACCACCAAGTTATTAGACCCACAGTATGACACTGTGGATGTGGAAAAGGAAGGAGGGAAGAGGGTTTGCTACATATTCATCAGCTTCTAAGTTTCTCTTCAGAATTTCTTGAGAAAGTGACTCTTTCACCTTAACCACAAACATGTCAAAAATATGCAGAGCTTCCACAGACACATTTTGGATGCATGCACTAAGACATGAGCCTATGCCTTTGGGATAAATGCACGTGCTGTCGGGCAGTTATAGCTCTGTCTGGGACACTGAGTAACAGCACTTGTCCATACAAGTGCCTTCAGCGTTGCTTGTTGCTCTGACTATCCCTATACACAACCGACTGCAAGGAAGGGAGTTTCTGGTGATGAGACCCCTGCGACAGTGCAAGCTGGGTGAGACCCAGCCAAGGGGTCAGAGTGCTGGAGCGATGTCCCAAGCTGCAGAGTGGCACCTGGCAATGAGAGTGGGAGTCACTCACCCTGGAAGTAAAGTTGGTGCAGAGGAGAGTGAATCCAGCAGGAGAGGAGGATGTTGAGGTGCTGGAGACTGGCAGCCCCCCCTTGTATGATGGGTGGGCAGGAGGACATAGTGCCAGTGGTGAAAGGGGGCTGCTGGGTTCGTCTCCTCCACAGAGCACCTTGGATCCTAAATGCTTCACAGCCCAGTGAAAATAATCTTCCTTACTCTCCTGTGCTTTTTGGAGGGTAAAGAGTGTCCATGTATGGGGAGGGGTGATTTATACCTCCCTGTACCAGACTGAGTGACTCTGGCCATGAGAATGACGTCCTTCATTAACTTAATTGGAAACAACCTTCTTTTAGGGCTGAGCAAATCATTCCTGAAATTCTCATAATGTATAGTTCTCCCCTAGGCCACATTTCATTCTTCCTCAAGAGCCCTTGGAAGCAGACATGCTGAACACAGAACATGCACACCACCTCTCCAAGATGCTTTAGCAAAGCATACGTGTATTAAGAACATGGAGCCTGGGAAAAAGGAGGGACTGTGGTCACACAGCTGCACTGATGACGAGACAGGGCAAGGCCCAGCATAAACAGTTTGGAAGGAATTGTTCCTGCTCCTCAGCGTGCAGGCACACACGCAGCAAAGGAAAGAGAGAACTGGCAAAGCTTGCAGGACTTTATTTCCTTCAGATCCCTGGCAGGTCTCCATCCTGCAATACATCAGGGCAGCTACAAGTGTCCTGTGAGATCAAGCTGGCAAAAAGTAACAATAATCCAGGGGAGAGGAACTTCTATTTCTGACATATTACTTGGGATAGGCCTTATTTTTATGGTTGTGCTTGAGCTATTCGTAAAGCACACATCTCTCACTGTAATACAGAAAATTATAAAAAAGCATCTCTTGCACTGATAGATATGCTGATATCATTGACACATGGACGATAAATCAGTTTTATAGAAATATGGAGAGCTATAATTTTTGTATCTGAAAGTAAATCATAAACTAGATCCTGTAAACTTATCGTACCTATGTGCAGTGTACAGGCAAGTGAAGCTAGGATCAGTACAAAAACTACCACAAAAATCTCAGACTTTCCCCTGCTGCTTTCACTGGGGGCTTGTAAAGCCTTCCCCCCCAGATGAATTAGAAGGTGGTGCACTTGTCTGAGCTGCTCTGCGAGAGGGATGTTGGGACCTCTTCACACCTGGCCCCAAGAGATGCTTACATGGTCTTTACCCTTGTGGAAACAAGACAGCGAGTAACCTGCTTCCCTGCCAATTCACAAACCTGTTCTGGTTCTGCTTGCCTGCTGGAAACCTGCACAAAGGCCTTCCTTTCTCAGAGCTGCTCCCTCAGGTGAGCGTGCAACAGAGGGGGAAGCTTGCACAACCCTCCCCCTCTGCTGTCATGTTTAGTGGAGAGTCACAAGCTGCAGAAGCATCAGTGCAGGTACTAAACACATTCACACTCATTTCTGACAGAAACAGCTGCTGGAGCTTTCTTCCAACTCAAAACATTTCAAAAACGTGACTATGCTCAATCAAGACTAAATCTGTAACTCCTCTGGGAGGGGCTTCAGATGAGAATGTCTCATCAGGGGCTATCCAGCCAGCACAACGCGTGGCCCTTTGAAATCAAACTGCTTGGCCACGTAGTCTTTGGGCATACAAAGCTGCTGTTCAATTTGATTTAAGCTCCATTGCTCAGACTCTGTTCTGAGAAGAGACAGACTGTGAAAGCTCCTTTCCCCTCAATTTAATCAGACTTCAAAATGAGATGAAGTTTTCCAAGCAGCTGCTGCCACAGGTACATTACCAGGAAACCCTCATATTCTGCATCCCAGACTCTATTCTTGTGTCCACAGGAAGAATCAAACCTAAACCTACATCCCATGTCCACACCTGGCACCTGTGAGGACACTGGCATGGCTGGACTGGCCTGATCACATGCATTCTGTCTACCTGAAAAACCATACATTTTATTTTTGATTGCTGGTTTTGTCCTTTTCCTCTCCAGACTTGGACAGCCGCTTTTCTTCGGCCAACGTGCGACAAAGCCAGAGCCTTTCTTAGGCAGGAGGAGGAAACCTGATGAGCCTCAAAACTCTGCTGACCTCCAGTCTCTTTCAACAGTAAATAGCGTGAATTGATTTCTGAAATTCCTAGCACAGGGGAAGCTTAGACACTGCTGCCTGCCTAGCAAATAAAGCAAGCCTTAAAAAGTCCTAGAAGAGCAAAAGAGCATAGCGGAGTGACTGTTCACTACATGAAGGACAGACTGCAGTGCAAGGAAAGGCAGTTCTCAGTCCCCTACCCGAAATCACTTTGGAGATTACAGAGGTTTTGTGTTCCAGGGCTGCTTTCCACCTCCCTGTTAGCCACCCAGGACTCTTGCAAACCCCTTTGAGAGGGGGTGCGACCCCACGCACACGCACACCCTAAAGCTCTCAGTGAGCTGTGTCACTCGCACACACGCACCAGTGCCCACGGCCGCCCAGGCGGGGAGCAGAGGTCATAGCCAGGGCTGGCACTGCCGGTCCCCCATGCCCACCCCGGGGCTCCTTCACCCCCCGGGGACACAGCTAGAGGGGCTGGGCTCCCTGCCCTCCTGCACCTCGGGACACCCACGGGGACCGTGTCCTCCCCACTCCCAGGGTCGGGGACACCATGTCCCT